CGTAGTAAATGGCAGCCGCTGTTGTACTGCTACGTCTCTGGCTGCCAGAAGGCGATGACCAGGTCCTGGCTGGGGTCTTTCGCAACATTCCTCAGTCTCTCAACAGCCTATGTGGCCTTGATATTCCAGGCGACGTACCATAAAGAGCAGGTGTCATTTTGCAGATACTTCGCCGCGATCTCCAATCCTTCTCCTATCCCGGGTGTGGACCTGCAATGGTGGAGTTTAGTAGTACTCTGTGAGACAAGCAAGGCCGGTTACATCACTTCCTCTAATTTTGCCTCTTTTAGACCTTCCCTTGCGACGATCCTGATAAGCCAGGGATTATATCATACACTGTTCTTGTGTGTTCAGTCTGGCGGTCCAGATGACCCGCTCCTGCCATTCGACAGTATCTGCTTCCGGCTTGTGGTGATTGAACGGAATTACTTGTCCAGTCCATATTATTTTTCGTTCCTGCTTTCATAAAGGACTCCATCAGTATCGAAAATCTATCATTTTGGCTTCAATGCACTTTCTGCAATTCCCACGGACTTTGAACAGCAGTACTTGAATAAACGCGATAATACAATGTTTTCCGGTGGGTCTCTGTTGTCGTTGCTACGTAATTGGCCACCGCCTTCATCGAACCAGCGGTTCGGTTTCTCGGGTTTTATAATTCTGTTCTGTGCATCGGGCATCGATTTAATACTTCTTCATGTTTATTCGTTGACAAGTAAAATCCCTTGGTGACCTTTTCAAGCAGCATGCTTTCGTGCATTCATGCGCAGGTTTACAGGTCACCACAGCTAGCTAGTCGCTTCTGTCCCGATGGGTTTCAGTTTAGCCCCTGCTGTAGCTCCTCCCCCCCACATCACTCTTCGGTCGTGCAATTTATGCTGTACAACATTGTTCCTTTGCTTTTACCACTGCCGTGGCAGGTTTCATTTTTATGAGTTTTCAGCCTTCACATGACCCAAACCCTACAATTCAATTCTTCTTTGCATACATATCACCTGCGGCATTCTTAACAGTTTCTAACATAATCTGTTCGTTAAAGCCCTGCTCATGACTGCAAATGGTTGCTGAAAGCACTGTGTCACCGTTGCATGCCGTTGTCATCGTCATTTGAGGTATCACGACCAATGACCGGGTACCTGGATGAATAACATATGGTATTTTGGCTTCTTAGAATTATTTAAGCGATGCTGGTTGTTGCAGATCAGGTCGTATTCCTGGGTCGAAAGTAGGTCCGCCTCTGGCAACTGCTT